AGCCACCTCACCTGAGGCCACGGATGGGATGCTGAGGCCCTGGCAGTGCTCTGTGTGGCAACAATTCACTGTAAAGAGGCAGCACCGCATTGATCCTCAACGAAAGTAAGTGCTAAACGTTTGACTCACAATGAGGACAGGACCGCATTGTTGAATAACCTTAGACTACTTGTCTGGGCTTTGACTCCCACAGTCCTGTGACAATGTCCCAAAGATGCAAAGATAAGTCACCTTCAGGACATGTTCCCTTGTATGTGGGAGGCAGTGAAAGTCTCCCTCCTTTTCATTCATGACAGCAGCCCTTTCAGGTCCTTAAACAAAGGAGTGAGAGATTTTTTTTAAGCCCAGTAGGAAAGGAAAGAGGAGAAGGAATTCTGATATAGTGCACATGCCCTGGAACAGCAAGAGCGAAGCTGGGCAGATTGTGGTCCCTGGGGAGGCCACGGGCTGTACCCCCTACTCCCCCAGTGGGAGAAGAGGGGACTGAGAGCTTCCATGGGCCCATAACCCCCCTCACTTCACTACATGAAGTCAGTAGTTGGGAGACATTGCCCTTCTGTGGTCCCTAACTGGACAGTGATGCTGTCACAGACACCATGGGGATCATCACAAAGTCCTGGGCAAGGGAACGCTTAGGTCCCAGATCAGAGCCCATTTCACTTCCATCTTCCACAGAACACAAAGCACCAAAGAAACCAAGGTGCTTCCACACTATGTGTCTTCACAGATCAGATTTTCCTTTTCCTCTAAGACAGTGAATCCCAAGCATACCCACTCCCTCCTCTTCCTCCTGTGATGGGATGTGCCCGTGCTTGACAGAGAAAAAACACAGAATGTGGGCCATGCCATAAGAATCTCCACATCTCCTGCAGAAACACATCAACAGACTGTCCTGCGTTGGTGATGGGTATGCTGAATCCGGAAGCTAAAGTGGATACCCTAGTCCAGGGCCTGTCCAGCCTCAGCAGAAGTCACCTCACTTACATGACAGGGACAGACACACTAGTGCACACCCCTCGAGGGGTCAGGCCATCTATCCCTGGTGTATGCTCAGCCATGAGGACAGGCTACTGGGCAGTTTTGGTTTGAAACCTAACGTGTCCTCCCCAGGCCTTGGGACCTTGGTGCCGGCCCCTTATCAGTCACCTCCCTGGGGAAGCAGAAAAAAGGCATCTGGGTGCAGAGTCTAGAGGAGCACACACCAGGGTCAAAAATAATTTCCTCAAAATGTACAGGAGCCCAGCTGGTCTCAATTAAAAATATATCTGGAAGCCAGAGATCTTGATCTCAAACAGATATAAGAGTACAAAAAGAGCTTTTAGCACATATGATCTAGTATATACTAAGGAATAAATGCTTTTGTTAATACAAGTAAGTGTTAAGGATATATACATATATAAAATATATACTATGTACATG